GTGGCTTTCGGGCACAGTGCTGGATCGAGATCAGGCTCAGGTAATTATAAGGTGGGGCTAGGTGGGGGTGGGGAGGGGCTGCTGCACCCAGAAAGTTTTTTTTACCTTAATGCAGAGAATGTATTAAGGTAGAAAACCAAAAAACCTTCTACCTTTACAACCACTTTAATTGTGCTAGTCATAACTGGTAAACAAAGATTTTTTTTTTTTCAAAAACAAACATGTTATACTTATCAACTTACAAATGGGTTTGCACAGAGCAGCCATGATGCTCCTCTTCTGGGATCCTCTGCTGGCGCTTCTGGCTCCTCCGTCCTTCCGAGTGCCCCCATAGCAAGCCACTGTTATGGGAACACTCTTCCGGGCTCGATTCTGAGCTCTGTGTATTCATTGACACACACAGCACGGCTTAGCTCTGTCTTCACAGTCTCTGATTGAGAGCAGCAGGAGCCAATGGCTTCCATGTCCAGAGAGGAGACACTTGGGTACAGCACTGGATCAAGATGGGACTCAGGTAAGTATTTAAGGGGACTGAGGGGAGCATAGAAGGTTTTTTACCTTAAAGCAGAGAATGCATTAAGGTAAATCCCTTCTGCCTTTACAACCACTTTATTCTCTAGGAACAGCAATTCATTGCAAAACCATAGAACAAATAGCTTCCTATGGAGTAAACTGCACAATGTAGTAGTGATCAATCTCACATGATCATACTAAACACTACTGCATTCCACTTGTGTGGCTTACTCAATAAGGAGCCATTGGTTCCATCTATTTATTGATCACTTAACATTATCAATTGATCATATGAACACTTGCCATATTCGCTACTGTTTTAGTAGCTCAGTTGAGCTATTTAAAGCCCATGCTCCCTTGCAGTAGGGCTGCCCACACACTGCAAGCATTAAATGATTGTTTAGGTCTACAGGGCCACAAAAATAGTATATCCTTACCCTATCCTTTGTTTCCCTGGCAGCCTATGCTTTCCTCTAATCCCCTACGTTCTGGCAATGGACTGTCTGTCAGCTTCCTCGCATCCATTTCAGGGCAATAGGTGCTGCATTGAGCTTGATGATGTCAGAGGGCATCCAATTGCTGGAACATAGGGGAGAAGCAGCTTTGAAGATCCGGCTAATAATCCAGGGCAGCCTGAAGTTGAAGTTTTTTGCAGTCCTATAGACCTTTATGAGCATTTAACCCTTGCAATGCAGGTGCAGCACCACTGCATGGGAACATTATTAATAGAAATATAGTGCAGCGCTGTAATATAGATATGTAAAACAAATAGGTGAGCATAAAGTTCATAAAATCTTCATGAATGTGATAAAATTTTTTGCAGAAAACTTGAAGTGAGAATCTCCTCTATATCAGATAGGTGACTGGAACCATATAGATAAAATGCGCACTCACCGACCGCGCATTAAATATGCACATGTATATGACCATCTATCCAGGTAATCAGCCAGACACACGGGTCATCCCTCCCAGGTGGATCATCAGCCTTCGGTGTAGTGATCTGCAGCAAGGTCCAGAGAGCACTCAAAGCCAGTGAGTGAAGGTGGATGAGCTCCCTCTCCTGGATACAAGATGCACTAGGAACCAGCTGCTATAGATCTGAAACCCTCAGAGAGAGGGTCAAAACAGAAAGAGAGTGCCAATAGTGTAGTAGGTTCAAGCTGATTTATTTGGTCACAAATAGAATAACATTCAGGGGTACATGTATATAAATGTACTGCCAGCATTAGGTGGACAGAGAAATAAAATGGACATGTACTGACCCGGCACAGTAAAAAGCCGCCGGACCTCCTCGTGGTCACGGCGGTGCAGAAAGTCACACGTGCTGTTGGCTCCTGCTAAGGCAGTGCTTTCTCAATTATTTTCTGTCATGCCCCCCCTAGGAAGAAGAAAACATTTTGCGCCCCCCCCGCGCGACTGTAAATAGTATCATTTGTCTATAAAATTGTTATAAGTACACCTCTGCATAACACTGTATCCTTATTAACGTATAAGAGAATAAAAAAAGAAAGAAATGTGGATCAATTTACAACAAAGAATAGCTTTATTAACTGTAGCAGAAAAGATTTAAAGTGCATAAGAAATTTAAAAAAAAATTAAATCCTTAATTAAACTATAAACATTTTTTGATTGGACATGTCAAACCATATGATACTGAAAAAATACATAAAATCAATAAATAATAATGAATTCAAACCGATCACCAACATTTACTTAGGACCTAATCATTGGCGCCCCATCATTGGTGTCAGTGGGAGGAATAGTGCCTCATTATTGGTGTCAGTGGGAGGAATAGTGTCCCAACATTGGTGTCAGTGGGAGGAATAGCGTCCCATCATTGGTGTCAGTGGGAGGAATAGTGTCCCAACATTGGTGTCAGTGGGAGGAATAGCGCCCCATCATTGGTGTCAGTGGGAGGAATAGCGCCCCATCATTGGTGTCAGTGGGAGGAATAGTGTCCCAACATTGGTGTCAGTGGGAGGAATAGTGTCCCAACATTGGTGTCAGTGGGACGAATAGTACCCTGTCAGTGGGGAGAGGAATAGTGCCCAATCGTTGGTGTCAGTGGGGGGGAGGAATAATGCCCCATCGTTTGTGTCAGTGGGAGGAATAGTGCCCCATCGTTGGTGTCAGTGGGAGGAATAATGCCCCATCATTAGTATCAGTGACACCAATGATGCGGCACTATTCCTCCCACTGACACCAATGACACTTGCTGACCCCTGTTGCAGTATGGTGCTGCTGCAGCCAGCATATGTGGTTGCAGCAGCACCTCTGCACTGCACACTTACCGGCTTTTCCCTCACTCGATTTTCGCGGGTCCGCTCGGCTCCGCCTCCTCGCCCGTGATTGGCCGCCTGTGTACCTTTCCTGAGCTACAGTTCTGGCGGCCAATCACCAGTGAGGAGGCGGAGCCGAGCGGCAGGAGTGAGGGAGTGGCCGGAGTGACGGAAGTGACGGAAGGAGCAGCGCTCCTTCCGTGGATGGATCATCGTGGGAGCCAGGTAAGAGACAGCAGCCCTCTGCCCACCCCTGTACTTAGTGTCCCTTCTGTCGGAAGGGGGGGGGGACGGCGGCGGCACAGCGCCGCCCCCCTAAAAAGTTCCACCCTAACGTATACCGGCGTATAAGACGGCCCCCGACTTTTGTGAAGATTTTCAAGGGTCAAAAAGTCGTCTTATACACCGGAAAATACGGTATGTTCCCCGAGGTCAAACGCGCCCCCTTTGACGGCGCGCCCCACTATTTGAGAAGCACTGCCCTAAGGGAACATTATTGTTCTACCTGGAGTTCAGCTTTAACATTTTCCACATAGGTCTACCCTAATGAGGTAATTGTTGTGCAAATGGTTAAATCTCTCCATAGCAAGACTTTAACATCTCCTTATCTCTAACCTAAAACTTCATGGTCGGAGGGGACAGTACCAGGAACAAATCGATTAATTTTGTTACACAGATTTCAGTGCAGGTTTTTCAATGGCGATACTTTTCCACATTATGGCTTCATGCACACTAGTATTTTTGTAAGCTCCTAGAAGCTAATATGAGCATTTTGTTCTGCTCCTAGAAGCTAATAGTGTTATCCTATGTGTCCATGGACACTATTTTATGTTAGAAGCTTTATTCAAGCTTTAGCGTATAGGAGCAGAAAAAAAATTGTTTTTGTAGAGTTTTTTTGGAGCTGTTTCCCGGCAGAAAAAAATGCTGAACACTCCTAAATGCTACTAAGATGCTCCTAACAGCTTTTTATGAGTTTTGTTTTTGTTTCATGTACTGTAAAAAGGCTAATAAAATGCTAATGCTCCTCAATGCTTATCAGCTATTATCTGTGTTTTTCATCCAGAATATAGCATTTTTTGAGCTTATAAAAGATACTAGTGTGCATGGAGCCTATAAAATGGGTACCAAAGATTTTGTTGTATGATATTTGTTTTAAAAATATAACATTCATTGAAGGCTTAGATTCACTTTAATTTCTCACATATATTTTTTCAGGGGTGAGACTCGTAAAGCAAACAAGTTGTCTATGATTAAAATTCTGCTTCTACATTGCTGCACCAAAATCAACCAAAACACTAATGTACCTTGGTAACCAGGGGACTATGGTGGGGGTATCTTCCTACATATGAAAGGAAGATACCCCCACCATCTATAACATATAACAATCCGTACACATGAAAAAAAAAAAAGTAGGACTCTGAAATGCTGAAGGACTTTAACCACTTGCCTACCAGGCACTTATACCCCCTTCCTTACCAGGCCAATTTTCAGCTTTCAGCGCTGCCGCACTTTGATTGACAATTGCGCGGTCATGCAACATTGTACCCATATGAAATTTTGATCATTTTTTTCACAAATAGAGCTTTCTTTTGGTGGTATTTAATCGCCACTGGGCACTTTACGTTTTGCGCTATAAATAAAAAAAAGTGCAAAAAATTTGAAAAAAAAAAAAAAAGTTTATTTGTTTCTTTTTATAAAATTTTTCAAACAGGTATTTGTTCTCCTTCACTGATGTGCGTTGATGAGGCAGCACTGATGGGCACTGATAGGCGGCACTGATGGGCACTGATAGGCAGCACTAAAGGGCACTGATAGGCAGTACTAATGAGGTGGCACGGATAGGCGGCACTGATAGACAGCACTAATTAGGGGTCACGGATAGGCGGCACTGATATGCAGCACTGATAGGCGGCACTGATAGGTGACACTGATTATGGGTACTGATAGACGGCACTGACTGGCATCCCTGCTGGGCACTGACTGGCGGCACTGACTGGCACAACCCCTGGGCACTGACTGGTGGCACTGACTGGCAGCAGCACTGCTGGCTGCACTGGTGGGTGGCACTGGCTGGGCTGCAGTGGTGGGTGGGCACAGGTGGGTGGCACTGGGTGGCACTGGTGGGCACAGGTGGGTGGCACTGCTGGGCACATGTAGGTGGCACTTCTGGGCACAGGTAGGTGGCACTGCAGAGTGGCACAGGTGGGGGCACTGCTGGGCACAGGTGGGGGCACTGCTGGGCACAGGTGGGTGCACTGCTGGGGACGGGTGAGCGGAGCTAGTGGGCGCACTGCTGGGCGGAACTTGCGGGTGTCACTGCTGGGCATCGATCATCAGGGCACTGATCATCAGTGCCCTGATGATCTGTGCCGATCCGCGCTCTGACAACTGCCGGTTCTCGGCAGTACTTTCCTCACGATCTGACAGCGTGAGGAAAGTGCAGCCGAGAACCGGCACTTGCATTTCCCTGTGATCAGCGTGTCATTGGACACCGCTGATCACGTGGTAAAAGGCCGCTGTGATTGGCCTTTTACCACATCACGTGATCAGCTGTGTCCGTAGGACACAGCGATCACGGAGATCGCCGGGTGCGCGCCCCCTGGGGCGCGCAGGAGAGAGCGCGTTCTGGGAGGACGTCATATGACGTCCACCCAGAACTGGCCGGCCGCGGTGAAGCCATCATTCGGCTATGCGCGGTCGGCAAGAGGTTAAAGCTGAACCATGTGAAAAAATCTACTTGAAACTTAGGCCATTTACAAAATGTCTTGTATTATTTTGAAAGAATACAAGGTGTTCTGTGAACGAATATGGGGAGATGAGGGGGTGGACATTACAATCTCCCTTTATCCATTCACAGAGCACCTTGTATTCTGTGAAAAGAATACAAAACTTTTTGTGAATAGATGGAGTGGAAAGTGAGCGGTGTATTATCATCACTGTACTAAGCCAGAAATGTAAGTTTCTGTGCCAAAAGTTCTGAGTTTACAGTAGTGTAAGGACTGAATGAAGATATGTGTTTTTAACTGCAGGAACATCCATGGGATTTATTTATTTTTACATTCATCATCCAAAAAGTTTTCCCCAGACTTCGGCTTTAATGTAAAGTGGCTGAGAGATGCAGATATTAGCAATTCTTTACTAAATTGATGCTTGGCTACCCCTCCTGCCTTAAGAACCATCTACTGAGCTAACTCAACATGTTCAGTATCCAATATCAAAGCATTGTGAAGTAAGATTGGTGGGTCAGTCATCAACTTACAATGCATTTGATTCAAGAGGAACCCTTACTGCCTCCACAAACTGCTTTCCTTAAAAACCTGCACCCAACTGCAGGTATCTGATTTATACCATTTGGAGGAGATATTTCTTCAGTTCAGTCCTGACATTATAGAAATGTACTGGCAAGCTATGTAATGGCAAGGCAAACAAAAGCTGTTTAACGTGGGTGTGATATTGATATGACATCTTCACTTTCAGCTGGGGGTTGCCTAACATGATTTTACTGCTATCTGTGTCCCCACTATGGAGCTTAATGCTCTCTTTTAGTCCACTGAAATAGAAGTGGAATCTTCCAATGGAGACATTTGCTCTTTGACAACTCTCTAATAGGGACTTTCTCTCACTTTGGATAGATTTCTGCTCATACGCTGCTGTGTCTTCTTGTACAGAAAGTAAAACGCCTATTTCATTTGAAGGACTGGCCACCAGCATGTATGTGTATTATTTCAGAAAATAATTTAGTCAGGATAATCCCTAAAATAAAATGCCCAATAAAAAGCTTTGGTAAGCAACAAGAAAAATCAACTTGTCAGTTGCTACTGCTTTGCAGGAAACCCTATAACCATGTTAGGCAACTTCTTTTAGTTTAACTTTTTGAAGGTATCTTCTGCTGAGAAAAACCCGATAGTAGCCATTGTACTTCCCAAAATGCTAGTTACTGACTGTCATGCTGATCTAATGGCTTCAATTCTGTTTGAATTAGTGCATTCTTTTTCCAGTTTGTAGCTCTGAATATATTGAAGATGGAGAATCAGCATTACATCCAGGTAGCCAAAATGGTCAGCAATGGCACCCTCCAGATTTCCTTCAAGTTTCCTTTGATCTCCACTGGATATAAACATTAGACGGGTTGTATGGTAGCACAGAGAACCCCCACCCCATCTCTTTAGGAGTTGCTCAGTTTTGGGTCCCTCTAAAGCTCTACACAGCCAGGCAACATGCATTTTCTTCCGTACTTTGCAGCCGAAGTCAGTAAACAGTCCTTGAGCTTGGTTTTATGGTTTTATTAAGGTGTTAATGGAGTTAAGGAATGCATGGAATGCCCAAGGGAACTGTAAACTTGAGGACAAACTCCTTAGCATCTATGTACAGATGTGGACAAACAGTCTCTCCTTTAAGAGCATTCCAGCTCTCCGGTGTACCTCCTCGGACCAAAGATGAATCCCCCTCTTCACCCAGCTGCACTGAGGGTATTCCCTGGGCCCATAAACTGCCAATTTAGAACAGCAGCCCTGGATGAGAAGCTAGTTGGGTTTTCCACCTGACTGCCCTCTCAGCTTATCCATCCGGGGGGGGGGGGGGGGGGGGGGGGGGGGGGGGTGTAAGAGTACTCATACTGTCCTCTCCTGATAGCTCAATGAGTTGGTGGCTGCCTTCAGGCCTTCCACTGGGCTGGTTCCTTCCCTGCTTCTTAGGATATCCTTCCTTGAAGATGGTGGTACAGTGGAGATCCTCTTCTCCAGCATCTTCCTGTAAGTAGGCCTCTTCCCTGGGCCCCCTCCCAGGCTCCACACTCCAGCTTCTCCCTCCATATTCCACCCAACACTGCGATGCCACTCCCAAGGTCTGTGACTCTGTGACCAGCCTCCTACCAGGGGATTGGCCAAGGTTCCTTAAGAATACAAATTCAAGTTTCCTCCCCTCTTCCATCCTTCCTCCAGAAAGCTCTTTGGTTTCTGGAGAGGTGAGAGGGCTCCAGAAGATCTGACTTTTGTACCTCCCTAGCTTGTCCTCAGGTGAACTCCTGCCTCACTCACAGGCTAACTCATCCCATTCTGCTACTCAACCTCTGACTGAAAAAAAACTACCTAGCTAACCTGGAGGGTGTTACATATAATATTGGTAGAATATTAAGACTGCTTCTTTGTTTTTAATCAGTTGTTATGTTTATATATTTTTTTAAATCCTTCCATCCTCTATGCTTTTTCACCTCCTGGCTGCTTCCTGTTCATTCATTTCGCACTCCACCCAAGGGGTACATGTCTCCTGTTGATGTGGTTAGCTCTTGCTGATCTACACATTCCAGAAACTTTTACACAGTACAGCCTTGCAGAGCATAGTCAATGGATTCAGCTTGAACATGCAAGCTCTCTATGCATTGGCACGTCAGCCTGTATAATCTAAAGTGGGCATCCCAAGGTGACAATTAGAGATGAGCGAATCGAACCAGGCGAACCGGAATTCGAGTCGAATTTCAGGAAATATTCGCGTCGAATCCGAAATTTTTGCCTACTTCGGGTGCGCGAATCGAACATTTCCCGATCAGCCGGCAAAAGTGTCCCTGCAGTGAGCAGATACACTTAGAGGAGCTCTGCACATACACTTTTTTGCCGGCTTGGAATTAATCTTATTATTTTCATCCTACTTCTTCTTCTTCTTAGTGTATCTGCAGAGCTCCTCTAAGTGTATCTGCAGAATAGAGGAACTCTGCACATACACTTTTTGCCGGAAACCGCTGTATGGAGGGAATGTCCCATAACTGTCAGAAATAGACTATTTCTGACAGTTCTGGGACATTCACTCCATACAGCGGTTTCAACCGCTGTATGGAGGGAATGTCATAGAACTGTCAGAAATAGACTATTTATGACAGTTCTGGGACATTCACTCCATACAGCGGTTGAAACATTGTATCTATTTTTTTCCATAAATGACATTCTGCAAATACACTTAGAGGAGCGCTGCAGATACACTTTTTGCCGGCTTGGAATTAATCTTATTTTCATCCTACTTCTTCTTCATCCTCATCCTCATAAGAAGAAGAAGAAGAAGAAGTAGGATGAAAATAAGAATAATTCCAAGCCGGCAAAAAGTGTATCTGCAGCGCTCCTCTAAGTGTATCTGCAGATGTCATTTATGGAAAAGAATAGATACAATGTTTCAACCGCTGTATGGAGTGAATGTCCAAGAACTGTCAGAAATAGACTATTTATGACAGTTCTGGGACATTCACTCCATACAGCGGTTTTCAACCGCTGTATGGAGGGAATGTCATAGAACTGTCAGAATCCTTCCATACAGCGGTTGAAACATTGTATCTATTTTGTTTCCATAAATGACATTCTGCAGATACACTTAGAGGAGCGCTGCAGATACACTTTTTGCCTACTTCTTCTTCTTCTTCTTCTTCATCCTCATCCTCTTCTTCTTCTTATAAGGATGAGGATGAGAGAGAAGAGAAGAAGAAGAAAAGTAGGATGAAAATAAGATTAATTCCAAGCCGGCAAAATGTGTATCTGCAGCGCTCCTCTAAGTGTATTTGCAGAATGTCATTTATGGAAAAAAATAGATACAATGTTTCAACCGCTGTATGGAAGGAATGTCCCATAGAACTGTCAGAAATAGACTATTTCTGACAGTTCTGGGACATTCACTCCATACAGCGGTTTTCAACCGCTGTATGGATGGGGAATGTCATAGAACTGTCAGAAATAGACTATTTATGACAGTTCTGGGACATTCACTCCATACAGCGGTTGAAACATTGTATCTATTTTTTTCCATAAATGACATTCTGCAAATACACTTAGAGGAGCGCTGCAGATACACTTTTTGCCGGCTTGGAATTAATCTTAATCTTATTTTCATCCTACTTCTTCTTCTTCATCCTCATCCTCATCCTCATAAGAATGAAAAGAAGAAGAAGAAGAAGAAGAGGATGAAAATAAGAATAATTCCAAGCCGGCAAAAAGTGTATCTGCAGCGCTCCTCTAAGTGTATATGCAGAATGCAGAATGTCATTTATGGAAAAAAAAAATAGATACAATGTTTCAACCGCTGTATGGAGTGAATGTCCCATAACTGTCATAAATAGACTATTTCTGACAGTTCTGGGACATTCACTCCATACAGCGGTTTGAAAACCGCTGTATGGAGGAATGTCATAGAACTGTCAGAAATAGACTATTAATGACAGTTCTGGGACTGTCCTTCCATACAGCGGTTGAAACATTGTATCTATTTGTTTCCATAAATGGATCCATTTATGAAACAAATAGATACAATGTTTTCAACCGCTGTATGGAAGGAATGTCCCAGAACTGTTAGAAATAGTCTATTTCTGACAGTTCTATGACATTCCCTCCATACAGCGGTTTGAAACCGCTGTATGGAGTGAATGTCCCCAGAACTGTCAGAAATAGACTATTTCTAACAGTTCTGGGACATTCCTCCATACAGCGGTTTGACATTCCTTCCATACAGCGGTTTTGAAACATTGTATCTATTTGTTTCCATAAATGGATCCATTTATGGA